TGTACCAGAACATGTGGGTTACTATTCAGCTTTTTTTTAATGATGTGTAGTTAGCATCTTCATTATGAAATAGCCAAGTGAATAAAGTGATTTATCTTTTCCAGAAAGGTGCCTTGGTTTTGTCACCTTTTTAAATCTTGGTTCCCCATTATTAACCCCCAAAATAAACCTTAAAATGATCATGATAGTGATGCGTGGTGAGTGTTCCTATATAGGCTCCTATAGCATGTTTATGTTGTATATGACCTCAGTTTTACCCTTCAGTCTCCTTGAATCACCCTTGGGGCCTTTAATGTTCACACTGAGGACTATAGTGTGCCTTTCCTATATGTAATTCAATAACTATCCACATTTATCTGTTTTCTTTGTTGCTGATTTAAGGAATACGCAGCAGTATCTTCATACTGCTGGGGGGGGGGGAAGAAGCATAGTCTATTTTAACGCTCCAACAGCCAGTTCTACTGTGTTTGTTCAAGTTGGCGTCAAAAGAAAGCCGAGACAGTAAAAGCTAAGTAATAAGAGAGCCTATATTTTCTATACCTGCTCATCTTTTATCCTGTCTTTGGCTTAATTTTGGGTTTGGAAGAACTCTAGGGTTGCATCCAGAATTGAGTGATTTCATACCTCACATTGCCACCTAGTGGTTACTTTGATAAACTGCTTCTTAGTAGAAAATCTTCCTGGATGGTGATGAGCACAAATTAAAGGATTACAAGTACAGAGAAACTGAATTTAATCTTGTATCATGTATCCTCTCTTGGAAATCCCAAATCCATATATATGAAACTTTTAGGATATACTAAGATACAGGCACTAAGAGGGAGGCTGCATATCAATACAGCCCAAAATGATTTCAGAACGAGGTCACATGTTCAAGCAGCTTTTCCACCACAAGATTATTGGAAAAGATCTAATAATCCTGAAACATTTTCAGTAATTCTGGAAAATGTCAATGCTTGAGTAATTCAATCATATTTATTCGTTTATAATACAAATTATTATTCTTAAGAGGAACTGATACTTCTATTTTCCTGACCTTCCTCTGTTTCTCTTGCTGTAATCGACATGTTATTCAATCTTGATCCGGAATTTGTTTTTTTTTGTGTTCAAGGGGAATTCCAACCTATGATATCCACATTATTTGTGGACTATATATATACACCTATATTATACTGTATTTGTCCATGGAGGCTGCTCTTTGGACAATGAATGTCTATACTGGAGAATATCCTAATACCTTTTTTGGGCTGTTACTTGTCACAGGCTGATTGTGTGATGTAGGCCTCTTGATAGTTTGCCAAACACCTTTGTGGTGGAGAAGCAAAAATACAAATCAGTTATTGCTAATCTAGATGCACATTTAAACGTCAATACAAGACACTTACCATAGAAAAATACAGTAGGCCTACATGCTAATGCTGCGTTCCATTTACCTCGGAACTCGGATCTGGTTATGACGTCACACCCGAGTTAATGCTGCATTCCTAACAAAACCAAGGTACTCCTGGAGGCGTCTATGTTGCTTTTCCGACTTGCAACTGGAACGTAGTTAACTTGGGTGTGACGTCATTCCCACCTCGGAACACGGAAATTCCGACAGGATATTCCATCAGGAACAACAATCCATTGAAAGTTTCTTGTCACCTCTCACAGATTTTTTATTTTAATTACTCAAAATGTCTAAAATATCAATGTCTTTATGCAATTTGACATGAGGAACAAGAATCAATTGAAAGATCTTTGTCACCTGTCACAGATTTTTCAAAATAAAATATTAAACATGACTAAAATATCAAAGTCTCTGAAATTTGAGCAGACTCTACCTTTAATTATCTCAAAAGCTCTACAGTAAACTCTTCTGAAAATTCTCAGGATAACAGTCAGTGACATGAGGAACAAGAATCCATTGGAAGATCTTTGTCACCTGTCACAGATTTTTCAAAATAAAATATTAAATATGAATCAAATATCAGTAATTCCTTGTATAGATGCGCATCATGTTTCCAGCGGCGGCTGGCCTGACCGGGGTTTTACAAAAGACGGCTTCACCGCGGTGTACGGCGTGGGCTTCGTAACCATGTCCCGCCCTCTGATAGTCTGTCGTCACATTTCCAAACAAGGAAACCATATTCGCGCTAAAGCAGTGGTGCATTCAAATACTGTCGGAAAAACGACGATTCAAACTTTGGAAGACTCTTCAGGTTACCACGGTAGCGTGGCCGAGCGGTCTAAGGCGCTGGATTAAGGCTCCAGTCTCTTCGGAGGCGTGGGTTCGAATCCCACCGCTGCCAAGAAGCTTTTCTATATAAAAGAACTGGATGAACTATCTGACTGATGGTTAGTAGGGTTAGTGGGGTTAGTGTGTTGGAACAAATATCTTCAGATGTTGCATGCTGGATCTCATGGTTCTCCTGTGTTGTTCCTTATGGCTCCTGTCTCAGTCAGTGGCATATCCAAATTAGACAGTTTTGCTGAAAAATGATGATTTTGAAAGTACCAGACCGCCATTTCTTTGAACTTCAGCTAATGTGCAGACTTCCCTGATGACTGTTGTGCCATCTGCAACTTTGAGGAGTTTTACAGTTTATGGGGGTTGGGTTTGTATACTGGAAGAAGACCAGAGAGAGAGAACTTGAACCCCATGGGGTCTGCTATAGTGCGCAAATGATTATTTAGATGGCCTATTGGATGTGATATTCCCTAAACCCCTGCAAGTAAGGATATAAATGCATGTACTGTTGGAAGTAACCTAAAGTTTTACATGCAAAACCTGTAATGATTGATTGTGCATTGTTAATAAAGGCTAAATGTTTGATGGGGTGCATAAAATATGAACTATCTTCAACACGCCTAACAACAATACTTAGGCTATGTCCTTCTAATTTATGCACCTCAACCTCACTTTGATTAAAAATACAATTTACCCTAACCTTTTTACTTCTAGTTGACTTGTTGCAATTGCTTATTTTAGTTAGGGCCGCATGCACCACAGCTTTAAGCAGACTCTTAGCTGTGAACTTTGCTATTTTTACTTCCTTCCATTTGCCGTGCACCTTAACTGCCTCTGCTTTATCTGGTCTTATGCACTACATCACTTAATTCTATCCTTTCTCTATCAGTATTCATACAGTTCTGGTTACTTTATTCCTGTTGTTTCTTATCCATCATTGCACTACGGTCACTTTATTTATCTAATTTTTACCTTTACAGTTATATTGTATATATTAGTTCTGTTGTTCCATTATTCACCATGCACCTTATTTACTTATCATTTAGTATTTAGCCTACTTGCACATAGCTCTGTATATATATATTTATTTCTCGTTTACTGCACATACTGTAGTTCTGTTTACATCTGTTTACATCTGTTAGTCCGATCACTGTCCACTTATATCTACTCTTTTATATTTTGTATTTTTAAGTTCAGTTTAAGGTATAAGTTGTATTTAAATTGACACTTTATATTTAAGTTAAAATGTTTCGTCTACTTACACTGTTGTTAATTTACTGCTCTGTGTGCCTTTGAATTGTCCCCCCGGGGACAAATAAAAAAAATTCTATTTAATTGAATTGAATTAAGCAATCCATGACACACAACTGGATTTTACTTTGTTAAAAAAATAACTTGTGAAAAGTATTACTAAAATGTTTAAATGTTATAGGTATTTTTTTTTTCTTACACATCATAAATATTTAGTTCATAAGTGGTGAAGTATATGGAAGCCCATTTCTGCCAGTTAAAAAAATAAAAATGAAAACTTGGCTTTGTTGAAATTATGAGCTAATGAAGTCATAATAATGAGACAAAAAGTCATAATACTGAGATAAAAAGCCGAAATTATGAGATAAAAAGTCAGGGACACCATCTACTACCATGAACTTTAGCCTACAAAATAACTGTGTGGTACATTGACAGTTAAACGGTCAATGCTACTTAAACAGTAATGTAATGTGTTTAGTTCTAACGACAACCAGATTAAAAGAAAAACTATTTATCATGCATCTAATGTGGGGTGGGGGAAGGGGGATGTGGGAACTGTAATGCCAGCTGGACATTCACATTTATCAACTCTTAATTTCGATTTTTTATCTCATTATTATGATTTTAATCTCATAATTATGACTTTTCATCTTATAATTTTGACTTTTTATCTCATTATTATGACTTTAATCTCATAATTATTACTTTCTATCTCATAATTATGAGATCATAATTTTGACTTTTTATCTCATAATTATGACTTTTTATCTCATTATTATGACTTTTTATCTCATAATTATTACTTTCTATCTCATAATTATGAGATCATAATTTTGACTTTTTATCTCATAATTATGACTTTTCATCTTATAATTTTGACTTTTTATCTCATAATTATGACTTTAATCTCATAATTATTACTTTCTATCTCATAATTATGAGATCATAATTATGACTTTTCATCTTATAATTTTGACTTTTTATCTCATTATTATGACTTTAATCTCATAATTATTACTTTCTATCTCATAATTATGAGATCATAATTTTGACTTTTTTATCTCATAATTATGACTTTTTATCTCATTATTATGACTTTTTATCTCATAATTATGACTTTTTATCTCATAATTATTACTTTCTATCTCATAATTATGAGATCATAATTATGACTTTTCATCTTATAATTTTGACTTTTTATCTCATTATTATGACTTTAATCTCATAATTATTACTTTCTATCTCATAATTATGAGATCATAATTTTGACTTTTTTATCTCATAATTATGACTTTTTATCTCATTATTATGACTTTTTATCTCATAATTATGACTTTTTATCTCATAATTATGATCTTATAATTATGACTTTTTATCTCATAATTTTGACTTTTTATCTCATAATTTCGATTAATTTTATTTCATTAACTGGCGGAAATGGGCTTCCACAGAAGTAAATCCAGCTCAGATTTCGAAAGTCCGATTTGAGTCTCAACGGGCACTGCGATGTCGGAGTTTTAGAAGCAGCACCTGAACGCATCGTAGTTGGACGACGCCGGAGACGAGAGGGAAAGAAAAGGGCAAGGAAGGGACCTGTGATAAATTCAGCCTCTCACTCTTGGCGCCAATCCGATTTAAAGAGGAAAAAAAAAAAACAGCCAATTTTCTTTTGACATTTTCATCAACGGCGAACTGCTGCTTTGCCCGCAAGCCAATCGCTCGGTTGCTACACTCGGCTAGCTTCGTTAGCACATTATCTATCATTGTCATATTAATCTGGCCCCCTTCTCACTGTCTGTAGTCACGATACTAATAACTCAGCAACAGTGAAGCACAGGGACAATAGAGGTGTGTTTCTGCAGAGGCATCGAGAAGACAAAGCTGCAACAACAACAAAAAAATGGGGGTGAGTTGTTGTGTTTTTGGTTTTTTTTTGGCACATTGTCTGCAAGATGAAACAATGAAAATGTGGGGGTTTTTTTGCAGCTCGTTTAATGCGTGATGGTGAGAGGAGAGAAAGAAAGAAGGAAGGGAAGGGGGGGGGTGAAGAGGAAGGAAGGAAGGAGGAAGACAGACCATGGTGGATGGATTTAGTTGACGGCGTTGCTTAGCCATTTAGCTGCCCCTTGTTTATCTTAAATAACACTGCAAGTTCAACACAAGCGTACACATATCGATATATTGTTTTAACAGCGTTACTGCATTGTCCTTGCAGCTGTTCACAGTTAACTTCTCCTGGTGTGTGTGTGTTGTGCCATTGTTAGCACATGCTAGCCGTGTTAGCCACTTAGGAATGCCTCATTAAAGGCGAGATAGCTTTTTCAAGAGTGAGTTAAAAGAGTTTGTTCTTGTGTGTCTTTCACAACAAGGCAGATTGTTAATGCATAACCGGCCTGGTAATAATAGATTCAAGGCTTGTTTCGTGTGAGCAATGCACACCTCGACAGCAGACAGGCCCCATGCAGGCTCATGCTCGAAACCTGACTTTAGTTCCCATAACTTCAGGCTGCGTTCACTTTCTGAGTCTATCCTCCACTTTCACTTCCACAGGCTCGGTCTCTGTGCTAGGTGCAGAGTTAATGCCTGAAGTTGGAAAAGGACATGCATTCCTCCTGTAGTAGTAGTAGTAGTAGTAGTTGCTGTACTTGCTGTAAAGGTTTGGATCTAATGAGGGGATTTAGTTAATACCTTCTTGTTTGTTTCAGTGCTAGTCCATGGAGCATCCGAGCACGTCACTGGAAGCTTCATAACCATGTTGTTGGAAGTCTGGTGTCTTCCCAACCTTTGTTTCTACACAGAAAATTAGAAATACTTGCAGTTTACGAGCTAAAACTGACGGTTATTCATCCTTAATATATCAATATTACATCAGGAAAATCTGTTATAAGCCCAAGATTACTTTGTGCCCCGCCGTGAAGTTGAAAACCCAAACAAATACAACAGGGGTGAGCAGAAAAATCCTCATATTTGAATATCAGAAGTGACTTAAACGATTGATTTGTAATCAAATATGTGGGAGATTACTTTCTAGACCAGTGGTTCCCAAAGTGGGGGGTTGGGACCCCGTGGGGGGTCGCGACACACTGGGAGAGGGGCCTTCCAAAAACAAATACAAACTGGAAATGACACATTTTACCCATTATTGTGAAATGACATGCAGAAATGTTGTTCAATTAGTTTAAGGCTGCTGCGGGAAGAAAAGTTTTGGGAACCCCCGGTTCTAGACGACTCATCCGTTCAGTTACTCCAGGGCACGGTGCAGCAAGAAACCCTGAAATCGATCGTAAAAAAAAAAAGGCTGATATAGCATTCATTTATTCACTACTTTTATGGTCGTGTGTGTGAAACGCATTCATAACTGTGTGTTTGTTGTAAGGTCTAGATGCAGGGAGAGTATCAGTTTCAGAGCTTTTCCAATACTATGGTATCACACTGAGAGGAATACGCAGCATCGGCAGAATCAACAACCTTCAGATTTACTCAGCACTGAAATAAGAGATGCTGATGTGAATATTTTAGAAAAGGTTTTTCTGTTCTCCTGTGTCTGTGTTGTCATGTTAACATGTGTGGTAAAATGCTAATGAGGTAAATACACTCACAGGTTGGTTAAAAAAAAAAAAAAAAGCTGCTGAATCCATACATCTGATTGACTTTGCTTGTTTCTTTGCCACCTATAACACAACCTGAAGGTATGGTTAAAACCGACTTCAGGAACTTTTCTTATTACATTTCTCCTCAGCTGGTCAGTAACAGGTCTCTCTGGCGTGGCTCTGTGATCTCTGCCACCAGGCTTTATGAAGACGTCTTCTTATCTGACAAGCCAGCCGCTTGGTGCCATAGTGCGGAGCGAGTCCTTTTTTCATGTTTCTTCAATCCATTAAAGACCCAATAAAGAAACTTATCATCCAATGCAGAGCCTCAATTATATTAACAGCCTCAGAGTGAAAACCCAGATGAAAAAGGATTAAATGTATAATTGATCACATGAAAATAGAGGAGAGGATTGAATAAGACGAGAAAATGGGAAACACTCCCAGTAAATTAAATCAAAAGAACATCTCCAGTTCATCTATTTTTTTTTTTTACTGGCTCAACAGCTCCAGTGAGGGTGATAAAGTACAGATGTTTTTAATTTAAGAGACATGATAAATTCTCTGTGAATGATGGTCTGAGTTAAAAAAAAAAAAAAAAAAAAAAAAGTGGCATAAGAAGAACTGGGGGAGAAAAGATGTATTCTGACACATGTTCACTCTCCTTCTCCTTTGTTGCTTCATCTTTTCCTCTTTCTCTCCTGACTTGTCTGTAACCATCTCACTTCATCCCCCTTTATTTTGTTCCCTGTGTCCAGAGGAAGTCCAACAGGGCAAAGGAGAAGAAGGCACGACGCCTGGAAGAGCGGGCAGCTATGGATGCCGTCTGTGCAAAAGTGGACGCAGCAAATAAGGTACTTTCCCTTTCCCCCCCGCTCAAGATCAACATTGAGACGCTTCTCAGACAACTTTGTAAATGGATTTGCTTACATCTCGTTCAGACCTGGAGGTTAAGGTTTTGACTGCTAAACAAGCGCTGAGGCTTGCAGGTGTGCGGTTCTGACTGTTGGTAATGGCGTCGCATTGATGTTGCATATCAAAGCACCTTTGAGACTGCTCAGTGAAATCATCCACCACTTGCGCTGTTTCAGGCTTATCCTGTGGATTCAGACTGCACTGAGCACAGCTCTGAAAAGCCCTCTTTGTGAACTTTTATTTTTATAATTAGTCTGAGTAATGGTCATGAGTCCATGTAATGACACCAGTAGCTTGGAATGCCCTAAACAAACCCTTAATTGATATTCACATGGATGGAAAAGCCAAAGCCAGTGCCATGTGTCTTTTTTTATTTGTTTTTTAAATGTATAATTAATCAGTATTTTTTAATCTTTCACGTCTAATTGGCCATCAGCACACAAGTCCTGTACTTTGTGGGTTTGTAAACCTTAATGAACACCGGAGGAGACAAAAGCTCTGTCGCCTCGAGCTGACATTTAAGCTCCTCACAGGACCGCCTGCAGCTCTTACTTTCCTGTGTCACTTGGTCCCAAAATGGGGCTCTTCTGTGTTGCATGCTGTTTTCTCTCTCTCTCTCCCCCCCCCCCCGCCCCTTTCCTCTGTAGATGTGCCAACAGAGAAGAAAGAATACTAGGAATTCTCCTGAAGTAACATTCATATTTGTTTACACAGTTACCAACAGAAGTGAATCTTGACTCAGGCTATTCTTTCAAATGAACAAACGGTGTTTTCACTGCTTTAAAAAGCCTTTAACTTCATCTAGGAGGTTTTTAAGGCCTTAAAATAGAGAGCAGACCTACTGGGTGTGTGGGGGGGCCCCAGAAACAAAAGTCCCCCCTAAACAGCCACATGGCTAACTTTTGTGCCCAGGGGCCCAATGTCTACTAACTGTTTTGGAAGAAGAGGGGGATTTGTAATTTGAGATAACTCGTGGGGCCAAGAAAGAGCTTACTTTGTGGCCAATTATTCAGAGTGAACATTGGGGCTATAACACGAATAGCCCTACCGTTTTCCTGCTGGCATGTGTCCCATTGGGGGCTAATCGTGTTTTCAGCATGGTACCGGACAACTGGGCCTAGTGTGAGTGCGCCCTGAGGGATGATTTGGGTTGAAGGACAAATTATTTTCGGACTTACTGCATTCAAAAGTAGGAGGGAATTGTTGTGAAAATACAGAAGTTCAACTGGGCACATTTTTTTTTGTGTCTATAAAATGTAAAGAATACTTGACATGAAAGGGGAGGAGCCTGGATGTTTTTTTTTTTTTTTAGTTTGTGAAAGTCACAATCTAATTCTGTCTCTTGTCCTCACAGCTTGATGACCCACTGGCTGCCTTCCCAGCCTTCAAGAAGTACGACAGAAATGGGTATGCATTACTTTGAATACCTACAAAGGACTTATTCAGTAATCATGAAATACATAATTGTTTCATTTTCTCCATGTGGGGGGAGAGAGATGGTATTTTCTGTCTGTTTTCTATTTCTCAGTGTAGACACGTTTGTGCTCTCTCCACACACACACACACACACACACACACACACACACACACACACACACACACACACACACACACACACACACACACACACACACACACACACACACACACACACACACACACACACACACACACACACACACACACACACACACACACACACACACACACACACTTGATGTTTCTGACCTTGTGTTTCCTGTCCGTCCCTCCAGGCTGAACCTGCAGATAGAGTGTAAGAGAGTGACCACGCTCAACCCGCTGTCTGTGGAGTGGGCCTTCGAACTCACGCGAGCCAACATGCAGACACTGTAAGAACTCCGGTCCTGTTCCTGTAGTTGAAACTGTAGATGAGGGAATCCAGAGATGACTGGAGAGACTCACAGAGAGATATTAATGGTAGATTTACAGCTCTGGAAGAAGTGCAGACGAGCCAGAAAATTCTTTGTGTGCAGGACAATTGGAAGGCGGCATCAAACGGCTACAGAGTAATGATGAGATCAGAGTGTTTTAGGAGTCAGATGTAGACTACACACACACACTGGAAGAAATTACAACTTCTACATTTCTCTTACTTTGCCTGAATTGAATTTAACAAATGGTAAAGAGTCGGACAAAGCAAAATGAGTTGCTCCATTTAAGGAAGTTTGTCTTTTCCTGATTGACACTGACCGAGCGGAGTGAATGAATGCAAGGATCAAAGTGTTTGAGTTTCACTTGTTTTCTCTTTGCCTGGCCGTAGGTATGAGCAGAGCGAGTGGGGCTGGAAAGAGAGGGAAAAAAGGGACGAGATGAACGACGAGAGGGCGTGGTACCTGCTGGCCCGCGACGGCGACTCCGCTCCCGTGGCCTTCTCTCACTTCCGGTTTGACGTGGAGTGTGGGGAGGAGGTTTTATATTGGTACAGCACCGATCCATGACTTTGCACATTTAAGTTTTTTTTTTTTTTTTGTTTGTTTTTTTCTTTTAATTTGACATCGGCTGGAGAAAACGTGTTCACTCGTGGCCTGACGTTTTGTCCTGTCTATGCAGCTATGAGGTGCAACTAGAGAGTCGAGTTCGGAGGAAAGGACTCGGCAAGTTCCTCATTCAGATACTTCAGCTCATCGCTAACAGGTAAAAGCTACAGCTCGGATCAACCTGTGTGTGTGTGTGTGTTTGATCAGGTCACTTTGGGGCGCTGAGTTTGGACAAATAAATCTGCATTAAAGGCTTTAAGTTCCTCTAATACCTGTGAAACACACCTCAATAGATGTTATATTACAAGGCTTCATTCTGGTTTTAGACTACATGTGACACTGCTGATCCCATCAGCATTTGGTGTTATTCCAAGATAGCAGCAGGGTTTTTCCTGCATAGAGAATTCTTTGGCGCCCACCAAAGAGGTTTTACCCTGCGCCAAAAGGAAAATCACTAGCGATTTAAAAAAAAAAAAAAAAAAAAAAAAAAAAAGACGATTCAAGTTGCAAATCAAATCCTCTCTGAATGTTAAAAGTATCAATACATCAAACGACTGATGAACAAGCAGAACATAAACTTAAATACGACGTCTCTGACTTCTAGCTGTCATCTCCCCTCTCATCCATTTACGCTTGTGGCTCGCGCTGGACAGCCAGCTGATTGACTGTTGGTTTCTTTTGATTGGTTGCGGACGCTCAGCTCACACCCACAAGTGCTAAATGCGGGTTGATTTTGAGTTTGGCGAGTTCATTTCAAAGAGCAATTCCTTCATGGCGGTATTTTATCAACAATCAGTAACTTAACGATCGTAACGTCAGCCAGCTGTAGTCTGTGATCTTCTCCACACAGGACTGTCAAACAGCGCTGCGTTAGAGCCAGCAAATATATTTTTATTGTTTCTCAATTTCCTGATCTGATCAAATGATCCAAATTATCTGCGACTTCAATCTGTGATTATTTGACATAATACCTCAGTAACTCAAATAAATGTACTTCAACACAATTTAAAGGTAAAGAGCAGCCATCATAGGAAGAGGGTGAAGTGCACTGGCAGGATGTGACCTCCCCTCTCCCTCAAAATCCCTCTCCTCCCCTGTTTCACTGTTGCAATAAAAAAAACAAAAAACTTTACCAGATTTAATTGGGGTTTCAGTAACTTATGCATAATGATAATATTATTAATAAATTGGTCAGAAATAAAAGGAAATGCACAGATTTCTGTCAAATAAGGTAATACATTCTCGTAGACTATACTGTAATACGTGGGTCGACAGCGTGTAAAGTCACCCCCCTTCTTCTCCCCTCCCCAATATCAATATCGGTTTCAGCCCTCAAAATCCCTGATCAGTCAGGCCCTAGTATATACATCTGATATATAGAGGAGTGAAGTGAACCGTAGAGGACATTCAGGGCAGTGAAAGGTTAAAGTCAAAGGAACTGAGAAAATATGCAAAACTTGAGTTCCTGTCGTCATAACTGGAAATATTTTTTTAAACAGAGATGAAACCGACAGTTTTCACTCTCAGTATAAACCTGCAGATTCCGTTTGTCTCCTCAGCGCCACCTGGTGGTTGCAGAAATAAACTGTTAAGGAGAAAAGAAAAAAAAAACCTATCATGGAAGAAAAGGATGATTTCAGATGTTGGATGTGTGTTTTTTACAAATAGGTTTACGGTTTGAATCATGTTCTTTTCTGCATTTAAACACCACTTGAGTGAGTTTACTATAAAATGCAACAGGTTACCTTTCGAAGAGAATCTGTCACATCTTCAGGTTCATGCTGAGCTCAAGAAAATGTTTCTTAAACGCTCTCTCTCCCTCTTTTTTCTTTTCTCCAGTACTCAGATGAAGAAGGTGATGCTGACAGTTTTTAAACACAACCACGGGGCTTACCAGTTCTTCAGAGAAGCTTTACAGTGAGTATACTGGCTCTGCAAAAAAAGAGCAGGATATTTAAAACATGTGCAAATGTTATGTTGAAGGAGAGGCGGGCGTGTTGTTCATGTATGTCACACTGAAGTCAGTACCACTGTGCAAAGGCTCGTCTAAGGTGGGGTCCACTGTTTGTGAAGTGACTATGAAGAAATGTGTAGTCTTGGAAAAAGGAGCAGTATAAGAAAGAAACGGTTTCATTGCATTCGATCACCTTTGCTCATTCTCTTCCCCGTCTCACATTCAGGTTCGAGATAGACGAGACTTCGCCGAGCATGTCTGGTTGCTGCGGCGACGACTGCTCTTACGAGATCCTGAGCCGGCGGACCAAACACGGCGAGGCCTCGGCCGGACACACCCACGGGGGCGGCCACTGCGGTGGCTGCTGCCACTGATCCACCTCACCGCCTCCCCCCCCCCCCCCTTACACCTTCTACGATTGGTTAAAAAAAAAAAAAAAAAAAAGCCAGCAACTTTCATCCGTTGCTGTGTGTGAAAGCTTTAGCTGCCTGCTACTCTTCAGACGTTTCTGAGTTGAAACGGCTGTAGAGGGCCGTTTAAAAATGTATCGATGGTGAGAACACCCGTTCTCTCATTACACAGTCAGACTTGTGTGGTTTTTTTGTTTTTGTTTTTGTGTATTCCTACTACGAAGGCAGCATCAGTGTGAGCTTTCACACATAGCCTCTGATTATTATTTCCTTTCCTACTTCTTGGTTTAATGTCCGGCCGTATATTTCCTCACTCTCTTATCTCAGTTAATGATGACAGTTAGTATTTCAGAGTCAAGATCAAGCTAAGTTATTGCTGAGATTTTCGACCACTGCAGCGAATCTCATCCCAACCCGCTCTTCTTCTTCTTCTTCTTCTTCTTCTTCTTCTTCTTCTTCTCCCAACACGTTCGACTTTATTGCATCATTGCGCCGTGCTTCTGGAATAGTTTAGGAACCGAAATTGGCTGCTGGCTCAATTCTGTATTACAGAAATGCATCACCCATCACGATGTCTCAATCATTTATCGGTAGACGATTATTAATCATGCCCTCGATAAAGTAAAAGTTGAATCTAAGCCAGTAACACGCTGCTTTCAGTCATACAGCCCCTGGATTCTCTGGGATTCTGAGACTACTTGCCTGTTGCGCTGTCCCTGGATTTGCTCGCGTATATGGCTTGTGAGTTTTCCAACAACATTCATTACAGCTACTGTTCAGAGCCACATCGGTCCATGACGCTGTACTACTGTCACTAGATCAAGGTTTGCTGTAAGAGCTAGACACCTAAAGACGGAGATGTCTAATCCGCTTTCAACTCTTGAAAGCGGATGACACAAGTTGTCCGAGACAAGTCCCAAATTGAATTAGGTCAAATATTTGATTTCAACATTTGTAGCCTCCAACACTCCTGACAGTAATGCCAGGGTTGGAGTTGGCTGCCTTGTTCTCTCAGATGTCCGACATGCTTTAACTGTCCAGACCAGACGTGAATGTCATGGACTACAAATCCCAGCTTCACAGATGACGCAAGGTTTCATCGGTTTAAGAAATCACCTAATTCTAAGCTTTTATTTCCACCATTTCTTTTTTTTTTTTTATTCCTCCCTTGTTTTCATTTCTTACAGATACAAATGAGAGACCGCCCCCCCTCCTCCCCCCGCCCACCACCCCCCTAAAATGTTTTGGTCACAGATCTCCAGTATTGTAGAGATTGTAATCCTCCTCCTCTCCTGTTCGTTATGTGCCTCTGTTCTCCCTCGGTGTCCTGGAAGCGCTGCACTCTCTCCCTGCAGGCCTCTTCATGTTGCTTTCATCTCGATCCACATTGTAAAAATGTCATCACTCCTGCTCGCCTCTTCGTTTGACATATTTCTTTCCCAAGAGGTACTTAAAAGGTAAAACAAGTCGGTGTTAATGCTAGATTGTGCTGTATTTAAAAAAAACAAACTAAAAACTCAATCACCCTCCATCCCTTCTCTTACCTATTTTGTTAGCATGAGCAAATCATATTGATTTAACATGGATGAGGATTGGTAGAAGTGACCTCTTCATTCTGTGGCCATTTGAAGCTAATGAATGCTTTTAATTTGGAGGAAGGAATATAAATGGATGGATGAATGATGGATTGATTGCAGAGCGCTGAGTGTTCTTAAGGTCATTATTCCTTTTATTCTCAGTCGTCAGCCCCACGGTTAAAGTTTGCATGAGAAAACGTCATACTCTTTAAGTCAGCTCGTAGTCGAGGGCAGTGCTGCTTCTTAACTTGGCCGTCACTGTTTGTACACTCCTGTTCATCCCGGCTGGTAACAAAAGAATACTTTAATATTTCATACAAATCTCCCCTTAGTATCCTGGCAAGCTTTATTTGAAGATGGGATTTGTATTGAGTATCACAGTGATGTGGATGTGTAGGGTTTTTTTCTTTTTTAAAGCATCTTGGCACAAACTCAGTGTTGTGAGATTTTGGTGAAGTCGTGCCGTTACATCTACTGCCGAGATCTTTGTAGGAATTCCCTCTGGGATTTTTTTAGATACCGGTCAAGGCTGCTTCAACCGCTTCACCCTGGTCCATTTCACATCTGTTTACAAAAACCTTCGGGGGTATTTTTGGGACAGTTTTTGGTGAGTGTTGGCCATCGTGAAAACCTTGACTCTGGTCAGATTGTATAGTTTTGAACTTGTGGACTGGACGTGAAGAGACCTCTTTCTAGTTCGGCTGTGAGTGGCTTTAATTGGTGCTTTTGAATGTTTTGGTAAGGAGAGTTCAGCTTGAAATTGAGTACAGACTAATGCCTGCTCAGAGAATGTGAAACAGGGGAGACTGAAATGTTGAAGACATTTTCTTAGAAGCGCTTAAATCTGAGTTAATCTTTGTGTTACAAAAGACCAAATTTTCATGTGCCACTAAAAATAAAGCCTTCTGGATGACAGAGTCCAGTTCCTGGGGTGAACGGTGTTGGTCGTTTCCGGACGAAAGATAAATTCAGCAAGTGGAGACGACGAATCATCGTGTCTCGTGCTTGTTTGATCATGAACGACAAGAGCGGTTAACTTATTGCTTGTTTTAGTTCTAGCTTACCTTCTGATGAGTACGGTGAATCATTTTTGTACTACATAGGTTACAAGAAACGGACGGTGTTGTACATAGTGGTAGTAACCAATCAACCGGCTGACAGTCTCTCTCTCTCTCTCTCTCTCTTTCTCTCTCTCTCTCTCAGGTTAATCAAACGTAATCGAACCTCATCTGTTACATTTTACAGCCATGTTGTCAGTTTGCTGTTTGCTGGGTTGGATTAACTGCAGCTCTTTTCTAGAGTCTTTTTTGTGTGTGTGCCATTTCAACATATTTAAAGGAACGGATTTTAGAGCGTTGTCTCGGATTAAATTTAAGTGGATTTTTAGTTTTTTATGCTTTGAAATGGGCGCCAAGGAAAAATTGACCTTAGATTAGTGCTTTGATGTTATATTCATTCCAGACAGATGGACTGTCTTTAAAAAAAAGAAAAAAAAAAAGGCTCACTGGCAGTAAAACTGCTTTGGTGAAAAATTCTTTACTTTGAAAATGAGCCAAAACGTATCCAGTTTATTTTAATTCAATGAGGGCTTTTATTTTGGAAAACGGTTTCATACCCTCGCGCAGTCACAGATTATTTTGTTTTTCTCTCTTGGTCTTTTCTCGATGTAAATATATATATAAGCTGTTGTGGATCCATCTTCATTTTCATTTCTTGGCCTTTTACAGGTTAAACACTTTTTTAAACATGACGTTGAACGATAAACTCCCATGTTTGAGAGTGAGTGTTACAGTCCTGTCCATAAACGACAATGAAAGGGAAAACTGAGTCATTATGCCTTGTCAGTGTTTTATTTGTATGTTACAAATAAAGGAAAGTTGATTGACTTTTCAAAAAATGTTGTCTTTTTTTTTTAATTTTTTTTTTTTATATAAAATCTATGATGAAGTTACATTTGTCTTTTCATGAATTTGAACAGAAAACTATTTATTCCAATGTTTCCCCTGAAATGAAATATTAGAAAATGCCGTTCTTTGACTTGATAAGAATAGTAAAAAATAGGTAAATGTTTAAATAGGAGATGTTAAGTCAACAGTTGTAAAGTTAAAGATGGTTAAAACTTTGAGCCTCTAAGTAGGTAGATACAAAAAACTTAAATATGCTTTACCTGAGAATGCATCATTTTCATTTTCCTTAAATTTCATTTTATAATATAAGCCCAGACTTCACATGTTATGTTAAGTCTGGGCTTACATTATCTCCTCAAACTTGCTTTAGTTTACCGGAACTGTTGCCCGGACATTTTACGATGTTGCACCTAAACCGGAAGTTGTTGGTACATTTGCTGCAAAAAAAAGAAAAAAAAAAGAAAGAAATGTTCAATCTAAGCGGAATGAATGGATGCTCTGATGCACTAAGGTGCCTTTGCTCACATCTGTGCAAGATGTCATGATTTTTCAACCTCACTTCTAAGCTGTGACGCTCTCGTTTCCCACAATCTCCCCCCCCGGCGTTTGGTGAGTACGACACGATTTGAGCTGAGATATTTTGTATTACAAAATAAATTGTTTACGTAGCGTAGCTTAGCTGGCACTGATTTATCATCAAGTACACACAGAGGAGGAACTGCGAACACAAACCAGGTGTTAGATTAGACTTTCTCCAGTCAGCTGCAGGAAATGCAAGGTTAATACTCCTGCACAATTAAACTAGGAAGCTGGTTATGTATCTAAAATGAGTGCATGATGAGGAACTGAATATCGACACATAATAACAGGAGGGACATTTAAAGATATATATTTTTAGTTAGATACATTCTTTACAACTTCTTGCATAAAAAAACAAATATAACAACTAAGAGACTGCCCAGAGACAGGTGATCATTGTTTTAATTTATTTTTTATCTCCCTTTCTGTTTCCCCAGCTGGTCAGGGTACCATGGCAACAAGGATGAAGCTGAAGCTGAAGACTGTGTTTGTGCTCTATTTCATGGTCTCCCTCATGGGCCTTGTCTATGCTCTGATGCAGCTCGGTGAGTGCTCTTAATCCAGACTTGACGTGTGCTGTCACACATAGCTGTCACAAAAGAGTGAATCAAATGTAAAATATTGTCACATTGTGTGTTGCCACGATTAACTGTTTTAAAGATTTTTTTTTTTTTAGGGATTTTGTGCCTTTATTGGACAGATAGGACAGTGGATAGAGTCGGAAATCAGGGAGAGAGAGAGAGAGAGAGAGAGGGGAATGACATGCGGGAAGGAGGCCACAGGTGGGATGTGAGCCCGGAGCCCACAGTTAAAAAAAAAAAAAAAAAAAAGAAAGAACTCAGGAGTATATTCATTAAATGATTGTACAGCCTTTGTGCACACTAAACTTGACACTTTCTAAATCTCAAGGGACTCACAAGGCGTGTTTAATACACCAACGTGCACTACAGGGATAAAGGCGTCTCGGTTCACTGGTGCTGTTTACATATCTTAGCTGTTCTCTATCATTCATTTCGGGCAGTGCCACACAGTAAGAGGGAAATGATTCCCGTCGATTAAGAGTTGGTGGTGACAGTGGCAGAGCATTTTCACAGGGTCACATGCTAACACTCTCTGGTATTGTAGTTTTTTAAAAAAATTTTTATTGTTGGCCCTCTCATGACAACAATAACGACTTGAGAGCTCTGTAAAGAAATTGTGTATTTTTCCATTTTGTAAATGTTACTTTGCAATTGCTATATTAATCATGATCAAGGTGCACATCAGTCCGGAGTTGTTGGAGGTGTGACCATGCCGGCTCACTCCACGGAGGAAGTCTTGTTTCCCATCTGAGCAGTCTGGGGTTTTTACAATTACCTCGGAAAAGGTGTCTAGTGCTCTTTCAGCTCGTCTTCTATATGTTGACAGCATTGAGAGAACTCCACTCTCCATGATCAGATGCTAAACAAAAGCAAACTGCATAGAGCCGCACACTTTATGGGCCTGTTTGCGATTGGATATCATTGGAGTAACATGCTTGGTGAGATGGACTTTGATAGCGGTTACGGAGGGTAAATAGTCAAACAAACGGTCTATAGCGAGAGGGGTCATCTAACACAGTACAACAGGAACAAAAGCGGAAATTGTGATCAGGCAGGGAAGTCCCCCGTCTTTGATTTTATGCTTTGAACTGTTTTGGTTGTTTTCTTCCACGCTGCAGGTCAGCGCTGCGACTGCACGGAGCACGACTTGCCCAAAGACCGTACCATATCCCGGCTGCGGGGGGAGCTGCACCGTCTTCAGGAGCAGATACGGAAGTCCGAGGCGACCAAGCAGCCGCAGAAACAGCCAGCAAAGCCGTCCCAGCCCACCATCTTTGTAATCACCCCAACATATGCAAGGTGGCCTGAGCCTGTCATTTGTTATTTTATTTTTTATTTTTTTCATCTCCACCCTCCACTTAACTGTCTAACGTCACACACAATGAATCATTTCTGTCCTTCCACGTCCAGGCTGGTGCAGAAGGCTGAGCTTACTCGTCTGTCTCAGACCTTCCTCCATGTCCCTCAGCTCCACTGGATCGTGGTGGAGGACTCGCCGCACAAGACGCCACTTGTGAGCGACCTGTTGGTGAAGAGCGGCCTGGCCTACACACATCTACACATGCCCACCGC